AAGCAAGTGATCTAGCAAGCAACTAAGAGCCCATAGATAACTATGGATGAAAATGGTGATAACACCTTCCGTTTTTATAATCTACCCCCCGAACTCAAGAAATAATCTCAAAGGTCTTTCCTGTTCTTTTCAGCCTTTCCTTTTGGATAAAAGAAAAGTCGATGGCGACTCTTGCTAACCGCAACAATTGCGATCAAACGCAAAACATCCCAAGTCAGTTCTCCCACCGTATCATACATAGCCCCTAGACTGGACATCATTACATGTTAATGACAACACATGGCTCGATGCAGTCGTGGCATGCCATCTCTTCGAGTCCAATCAACCATTCGACTCCCCGCATACTGAACATATGAGACCATGTTCGGGCCCCTCGAACACACATCTCCTACGACCAAGCACCAAAAGAATCATCTCATCCTCGACACACGCGACGAATCTAAGTCATCACTCATACGCTTAGGAGCAACGACTTAGGGGCCTCGTGTTCTAGATTGGCCCAATGGCTAAGCAGGGCCCAATCCGCTTTTTCATGTGGGACGACCCAATGACCTTGGCCAATTAAAACATGAAGGATAAATGACACTTTACCCCTTATGCATCTGACCCGAGGAGCCCTGGTCGGATGACCATCAAGGTCTGCACAATTACTTCTTCCTGCTCAAACAAGTTATTCCTCATCTTGCCCAGCTGCACGGGGATATCCATCCAAGAACGACCAAAAATCATGCTTGCCCGTGATACATTTTTCTGCCCGTTGTAACGGCTAGTTACATGCACCTTTTCCCGTCACAACGACTAGTTCTTGGCAGTTACCTATTTTTGAGGAACTGCATATCTAGGCTCAAAAATAGGGACCAATGGCCAAGCGCCAAGGGCACTATATAAACCCTCACACTTGTGAGGGCCAGGTATCCAATATTCACTAAAAAAACCCTAATCTCTTTCTTGTATCTCTTTTCATTCTTTCTTACTTGAGCATCAGAGTGCCTTGTAGGTACACCCCCTCTCCTTCAATTCCAGTCTAGCAGACATCATCTTTCGGCCCACTTTTAGGTTCCGATCAACCGATAAGATTAGATAGACTTTTGGGATTTTTTGAAAGAGGATCTCTTGAGGTTCATGGTGGAGTTTCATAATAATGGGAAGTTAACTAAAAGGCTTAATAGTATGTTCACTACTTTGATTCCTGAAGTTTCTAGCCCGCAGCGGTTATCAGATTTTCGACCTATCTCGCTAGTCAGGTGTTTGTATAAAGTGTTGGCAAATGTGTTGGAAAATAGATTGAGAAATGTGATCGGGGGGCTGATCTCAGAGTCTTAATCAACTTTTATTGCAGGTAGATAAATCCTTGATGGAATTCTTATAGCAAATGAAATAATGGATGAAGCTCGAAAGAAGAAGAAGGAATTATTATTGTTTAAAGTGGATTTAAAAAAAAACTTATGATTTAGTGGACTGGGGTTACTTGAAGAGAGTGATGGTTAGAATGAAATTTCCTATGGTATGGGTAAAATGGACAAATGAATGTGTAACTATAGCTTCAGCATCAGTGCTTGTTAATGGCAAACCAATTGATGAATTTAGATTGGAAAGAGGTTTGTGTTAGGGTGATCGATTATCACCTTTTCTTTTTTTAATTTCCGCAGAGGGTTTTAGCGTCTTGATGAATGCTATGGTTCCAGAGGGCATGTTTACAGGGTATAAAGTGGGAAATGAGGATTGGGGGGGGGGGGGGGGGGTCAATTTCTCATCTTCAGTTTGCAGATGATACTCTATTGATGCGGGTTAAAAGTTGGGCTAATGTGAGGGCGCTCAAAGCAATATTGTTATTGTTTCAATCCATTTCGGGTTTAAAGGTGCATTTTCATAAGAACATGTTGATGGGTGTTAACATTCACAATTCTTGGTTGCAAGAGGCTTCATTGGTGTTGAATTGTGAGCTTGGTAGTATTCCTTTTGTGTATTTGGGGCTTCCCATTGGAGGTAATCATCGAAAATCAACATTTTGGCAACTGGTTTTAGATATCATAAGAAAAAGGCTTTTTCCCAGTTGGAAGTTTCGTAATCCTTCTTTGGAAGGTTAGTTGATTTTTTTGAAGTCTGTTATGTCCGCTATTCTGGTTTACTTCATATCCTTCTTCAAAGCTCCCACATGTATTATTTTTTCTCTTGAATCTATATTTAAAGCATTCTTTTGGGGGAGGTTTATAGGAGAAGCGAAAGATAGTGTGGTTTGATTAGGATACTATTTTTTTGAGTAAGGAGAATGGTGGTTTGGGGGTGAGGAAGGATAAAGTATTTTAATGAGGCTTTATTGGGGAAATGGGGTTGGAGGATGTTGGAGGAGATGGGAAGTTTGTGGTATAGGGAGTTAGCCTTTCGGTATGGTGAAAATAGGGGGGGCTAAATACTTGCGCAGTATGGGGGTCTTTGTGGTGGCAGAGTGTGAATATGATTCGTCAAGGGGTGGGATCGACTGTTCCTGAGTGGTTGAGTGAGAATATTGAGCGAACATTTGGTAACAATGAGAACTCTTTATTTTGAAGGGATCTGTGGTTAGATGGAAGTGTGTTGATGGATAGATTTTGAAGGCTTTTTGAGTTTTCGGAGTATAAGAAAGCTTCAGTAGCAGAGATGTTTAATTTAGGGTGGGGTATCAGAGGAGGGGTTGGTGTTGGCGTAGGAGATTGTTTTCCTGAGAGGAAGAGTTGGTGGGGGAATGCATTCGGTTGTTGGAAACTGTGGATTGCAGAAGTTGGTGGAAGATTCTTGGGTTTGGTGTCTTCATTCCTCAAATTGTTATATTGTTAGTAGTGTTTACCATTTGTTGACAAAGACAGAGGACGTTCAAATGTTTGGTGGTTCTCATGTTTGGTGGTATAAAGTGGTACCCGTTAAGGTAAATCTTTTTCTTTGGTGGTTATTCTGTAATAGATTACTGACTAAGGACAATTTGGTTAGGCGTAATATTTTATCTGTTGAGAATCAGACCTGTCCTAATGATTGTACTCAGATTGAGAATAAGGATCATATTTTTATCTGATGTCTTTATTTTGGTAGAGTTTGGTTGATGCTTTCTGGGTGGCTAGAATTCATGTCGGATTTCCATGGCCATTGCAAGGATTATCATGATCAATTTGTAGCTTTGGGAGGAGGGGTCAAGGATTGTCGTATTGTTTTGTATGTCATTTGAATAGCTGTTGTGTGGGTTCTGTGGAAAATGCAGAATCAGAGGATTTTTCAAAACTCGAGTGTGTCGCTGATGTCAATCGTTGAAAAGGTAAAACTTCAATCATTTTGGTGGTTGAAAGCTTTTTATGTGCGATTCAAGGTTCATTATCACCTCTGGAGGACCAATCCTATACAATATATTTTGATTAATTTTGATTAATGTGTTGAGTTATTGGTTTTTGTCGTTCTTTATTTTTTTCTGAATCAGATTGGTGTTGTTATAAATCTTCATAGTCTTTCAAGTATGCATTGTACTTGACGGATTGTATATTCGTAATATATCTTTTTAGCTTCTTAAAAAAATAATTATAAAGATTAAAAAAAATCATTTTTTTATTTAAAATCTAACTATTAAAATGATGTTATATAAATTAGTTCAAAAAGAAATTAAAATTTTATTCTTAAAATGAATTTATACAAAATTGATTTGAAAAGCAAATAAATATTTGACAAATCAATATAATAATAAAATATTAGTTCAAATGTAATAATAAAAATAAATCAATAAAAACTGCCACCAGATGGTCTCGAACATGAGACTACTATATTCAGAGGCTTTAAGAACTGCGCAGCTTTAGAACATGACACTCCTATCACATATGACTGACCAAACAGAATATATAGATATTATGTTACATTTAATATTTTTAAAAATCTTTCAACTAAATTTGAGATCTCAATTATTCGGAGGCATTGTGCAACACGCAGGTTGCACATGCATGACTTTAGAACTGCGCAGCTTCATATTGATATCATATAGTATAACCAAACAGAATATATAGATATTATGTTACATAATTTTATAAAACCTACGGACTAAATTTAAGGTCCTGATTATTTGGAGGCTCCGTACAACAGGTCAGATTGCATATATTTAAATCCGGTTCTAAATACATTGAGGTTTCATTAGTAAAAAATATAATTTTTTAAAAACAAAATAATAATTCTTGATGGTATGTAAAGTAATAATTATTAAATTTATTATATTTTTTCTAAAATATAAGAAACGACATAAAAAGAAATATAATTAACTTAGCACACTTGTTTATAATCACAAAACACCACTTTCAAGTAAAATAATAAGATATCAAAATTAATTTAAATTTCGCTTACAAATTAAGTATAACATGCAATAGTAGTAATTCTATCATTTAAATATAATACAATATATGACATCATTAATTAATTAATTTAAATTATATAATAGAATACTGTTCAAATATTATTTTTAATCAAATAAACATCAAACTATAGTATAATAAAAAATTACCATATATGTATCTCATCTTATTTTTATCAACTTTTTATTTAATTGGTGTTGATCTTATCATGAATATCAAATCAAATGGAATTTAAATGTTTTAATGGATAAGAATGTTCAGTTAGACTTAAAGTATGGTTTGAATTTAAATTTAAATTTGTTTTGGTTACGGTCAAAGATAAAAGCTAATAATATTTGATTAATTTAAGTAATTTCTTTTATTATTTTAATGTAAAAAAACAAAAAAAACAAAAAACAGTTTTGACGGAGTTTCCGAGGAGCACAAGGGATGTGAGTGATAATGATATAAAACAAAGAAAGTAACAAACCCCAGAGGTAAAAAGAAGGTGTGGTTCCAAATAAGGGCATTTAAGTCATTTAGTGAGCACACAATCCTTGAATCTTGAACATTTAAAGAGGCTTTGAAACGCATAGGTATAACTCAAAATCTCAAACCACACCACACAAACACAAACACAACACAACGATTCATTCCAATCTCAACATGGCCATGGAGCTTCAACTAGATTCCATGGCCGCTTCAATTGGTGTATCCGTCGCCGTTCTCCGTTTCCTCCTCTGCTTCGTCGCCACCATTCCCTTTAGCTTCCTCTGGCGCTTCGTTCCCGGTCGTTTACCCAAACACTTCTACTCCGCCGCCGTTGGTGTTTTTCTCTCTTATCTCTCTTTTGGATTCTCGTCCAATCTCCATTTTCTTGTCCCTATGTTCCTCGGTTACGTTTCCATGCTTGTTTATCGTCCTCGATGTGGAATCCTCACTTTCTTTTTCGGATTCGGTTACCTCATTGCCTGGTACAAATCTGTTCCATTCTCTTTCAATCTCAAATTATCAATTCAATTGTTGATTTTTGTATTGTTTTTTTGTAGCCATGTGTATTACATGAGTGGTGATGCATGGAAGGAAGGTGGCATCGATGCCACTGGTAAGCAAAGCCCTAAGCACTGATTAATCTTTTTTTATTCTGATTTTAATTAATTCAATGTGTGTTTTAGTTGGTTGATTATTCATTAGGGCGTGTTTATTGAATTGGTGTTAGGGGCTTTAATGGTTTTGACACTGAAGGTTATCTCGTGTTCCATTAATTACAATGATGGAATGTTGAAAGAAGAAGGTTTGCGCGATGCTCAGAAGAAAAACCGTTTGATCGAATTGCCGTCTATTGTTGAGTATATTGGTTTCTGTCTCTGTTGTGGAAGTCACTTTGCTGGGCCTGTTTTTGAAATGAAGGATTATCTTGATTGGACCGAAGGAAAAGGGGTATGTATGTTAATGTTAATCTAGTTTCTTTGTTGATTGGTATGTTTGATTTGGCATTGCAATGCTGTACCCATGCCTTAGTGATATGCTAGCTGCAAATAAAATGCACTTCTAGTGTGTATCAAACTCAGAAACAAACATATACTAAGAATTAATCCCCAGTTCAATTTTATAAGAGTTATTGATTGCTGACAGCGGAAAATGTTTTGTTTAAATTTTTCTATGCAATAGAGTTTTGTTTAGATCCCGCTATGTTGTAGCGCCATTTTTTCTTTATAGCTGCTATTTAAGGATATTGATAGAGAAGTTGGTGGATAGAGTTATTCTTTGGTCATGTAAATAATATCTATGAGACTTCCTCTTTTCTGTTTCCTGGCTGACGGACCCCGTCCTATACATGAACCATTGATTGTTTTGTGGGATTGATTTCCCGAAATTGGGGTTGCACTTTTGTTCCTGTTGTTCTTCTTTTGGGGGCTTTGTTTTTTGGTTGTGTGTTTTTGTCCACCTTCTAGTTTCTGGTTGTTCTCTTGTTTATATTGGGCTTTTGTTGCTCTTTGTTTTTTCTTTACCTTTTAGACTTGTTAAGCACTTCTTCAATCTGATGTATTCTTATCTATTATGTTATATATATTTTTCCATTCAGAAAACAAAACAAATTATATTTTTATTTTTTGCTGTTATTTTTAGATTTGGAATTTTGGAGCAAAAGGACCAAAAGCACCATCACCCTATGGGGCGACACTTCGAGCTCTACTTCAAGCTGGTTTTTGCATGGGATTGTACCTAAACCTTGTGCCTTATTTTCCTCTGTCCAAGTTTACCGATCCTTCATATCATCAATGGGGTTTCTGGAAAAAGTTGGGTTACCAGTATATGTCTGGCCAAACAGCACGCTGGAAATATTATTTCATTTGGTCGATTTCAGAAGCTTCTATTATCATTTCCGGCCTTGGTTTCAGTGGCTGGACTGATTCCTCTCCACCAAAGCCGCGCTGGGACCGAGCTAAAAATGTTGATATTTTAGGTGTTGAGCTTGCAAAGAGTGCAGTTGTAATTCCAGCTGTGTGGAATATTCAAGTCAGCACCTGGCTTCGCCATTGTGAGTTTCGATTCTTTCCTTGCAAGGGTTTATTTAACTAACAAATATCTTTCAACTTTATATTTTTAAGTTTATACCTGTTTGGTTCCTTAGTTATTTGTGTGTCTAGGATCTGTTGGATCTAATTAAAAATAATCTTTCAGCTTAAGTTATCACATATTTTGCTAACAGTAAATTGTAGCATGATCAAGCCATACAATCTCGGATTTAGAAGAATTGTGATCAAGCAACCAACAGTTGATTTTTGTTGTTTTTCACTGTTAATCTTTTGTTCTTACCCATTTAACTAGGTTAGAGGCAAGATAAAAACTTGTTGTAGATTACCTAATCACCTTTCATTTATAAGGTCTGATAATGATATATGAAGTAACAATATGATGCTATTGTTTATGTTATGGCAGACGTTTATGAAAGGCTTATCCAGAGTGGGAAGAAGCCAGGTTTTCTTCAATTACTTGCCACACAGACCGTTAGTGCTATTTGGCATGTAAGTAAAATTTAGCTGCATTTTAAGTTGGTCCCTTCTTTCTATTGCTATTGTATTTGGTTTATGCATTGTTATTGCTTTAAGCTTACTTGCTATCTTTGCAAAAATGCATATGTAGTTTCTTAGGAATAACTAAATAAGACAAATTCAATCATCACTATTGTTATGGTCATGTAAGAGTTAAGACTAAAATAAACATTTGTTAACTTTTTCCACTGCATGTTATTCAACAAAAGATATTATCCAATTTAGCAAGCTAGTGAAGAAGGTTTGCCATGAAAAGCTTTGCGGTGCAGCTATTTTGTAGAGTTAAATTGAATCCATGCTTTAAGCCAATGTTGTTAAATAACTGCTATAGCGTTGCAGAATTTGGACCACTATTGTTCCATTTAGTATATAATGTTGACAAATAGCTGCTGATACTATAACAACACTATAGCATTACTGCATAGTGGAATTTTAACAATCAGCTATTTTCTGCTATCTGCAATTAACATTTTGACATTGTTATTTCAGGGTCTGTATCCTGGATACATTATATTCTTTGTTCAATCAGCATTGATGATTGCCGGTTCCAGAGGTATAAATATTTACTCATGCTTATTTGTAATTCTTTCTTCAGTTAATTAACTTCTGTTGCTGTTTTCTTTTCGAACAGTCATTTATAGATGGCAGCAAGCCGTGCCTCCAACAATTAAGAATGTCTTGGTGTTCAGTAATTTTGCTTTCACGATTTTGGTTCTAAGTTATTCATGCGTTGGTTTCATGGTTTGTTCCTTCTCTCTTTCTCTGCCAAACAGACTCATTAATACTCATGTTCAATTTGTTTGCTCATATTTACAACAATTCAGAGTTTTTTTTTACAAGTTTTCTATCTGTTTTGTTCTGTGTTTGAATAGGTATTAAGTCTGCATGAAACTCTTGCCTCATACGGAAGTGTGTATTTTATTGGAACCATTCTTCCTGTTGTTATCATCCTTGTCGGTAAAGTAATCAAACCTGGAAAGCCTGCCAGATCGAAACCTCGAAAAGAAGAGTGAGGTAAATAGCACAGCTATTCTCTTTGGAGTTTTTGAAATCAAATTAGGATTGTGGGAGATATGCTGGATCTTCAGTTTCCACGGGTTCAGCTCTGGTTTTCAATGTATTGTTACAGCTCCATTGGTCTTGAAAATGGTTGACCGTTTTATATTTTTGACTTTAGCATTGAATTGTATTTTTATTGTTAGAAACATCATGTTGAAAGGTTGATGGTTGATAAAAGTAATTATGAAAGAAATGTTGCAAACATGGTGAATTTCTGTTGGCTCTCGAATCATAACAATTATTTCAAGCAGGTTTATTTTTCATATTTTAATCATAGACAGACTCGGGAACCAATGAATGATGTCGAGTTGTTTATTTGCCGATATTTTGATACATATTTATTTGAAAACTTAAAAAGCCAAAAAAATCAATTTGCAGACACTCCATAAGAAACTACTTTCAACAGTCATTTTTATAAGCACTCTTTGTGTGTGCAAAAGAGTGCACATAAAAAGGGACAGTTTAAAAATAATTCATTACAACATTCATTATTGTTTTGATGTTTCTGGCTCAAGAGAAGGTATATTGATATTTTGTTCATCTACCCAATTTTTTATACAAATCAAATAGCTTATTTGCCACAACAATTTTTTTTATTCTTATTGTTCTAAGAAATTGAACCAAAACAGTGCTGAACATATTCATAGATAAAACTAAACTATGAATTCCCAATATAAAATTAACCGACAAAACATTCTCCTATGTAACCATCACTTCCAAGTTCCAAAATCTCTCTTTCATGTTACATTTAACTTTGTTTGTACCTATTGGTAAGTTTCAAAATATAAAAACTGGTCGAATCATAACAGGCTTGGAAATGCAATCTTACTACTACTACTAATAAGCACCTCTTTTCACTTTTTTTTTGTCTTGTTTCTCATTTGACAAGACAGAGACGTTGCCATTCCAACAAGACAAGGAAGGAATACAATCTTTCTTTTCTTGGTTTCTCTTTTGGTGTGGACCCGTTATTTTCTAAGATTAATCCTGAGTCTGGATAACACTGATCCTGCTCCTTTATGGTGTGTTTTGTTGTAAGAAGAAATTGAAAAGAGAGAAAAAGATGAGAAAGAGTAAGAGAAGAGAGAAGTAGATGAGAAATAGAATAAATTTGAGTGATTATTTGATAAAAGAGAAAGATAAAAGAAATAGAAGAGAGAGAGAGAAAAACCATTTTTAAGACAAAATATAACACTTTCTCTACCATTTCTTCGCTACTTTGAGAAGAAATAAAAAGCATATGGGTCCCACCTTTTTAAATCTCTCTTCTCAACTTCTTTTTGTTAACCAAGCAAGATGACTTATATACTTCTCTTCTCTCTCTCTCTCTCTCTCTCTCTCATACTTCTCTCTCTCTTTTAAAATCACTTCAACCAAGCACACCCTTAAGTTGATATGGCTTCAATAAACAACAAAACTTATGAATCATAAAATTGACAACTACATGCTGGTTCTAGGTTCTGATGCAGTTTTAATTTATTTTATTTTTTGCTGAAACTTATCCCTGAGCCACTATTTGTCTTCTTTCCCCTATAAGTTACTTAATCTCTAATATTTTCATTGATGTTTTTGCAGTTGTAGAACACATACTAAAAAAAAAAAAAATAGCACAATTATGAGTCTTTTCTCTTGACATTAACTTCTTCATCCTTTTAATAATTTTGAAAACAATAGGACACAATAAATTTGACAAAGACTTTCTAGCAATCCAAGTGAAAAGAAAACCCCCCTCATATGATTTTCCTATCTTTTTTTTCTTTCTTCTCTTCATCTTGTGACTCTTGTACACTGTCCCTTCCTATTCTCCTTTTTCTCTTTTTTCATATTCTATTAGTATACTACTATTTCTCACCCTTATGTTTTTTCATTTTCACATACAGCTGGTTTTCACCAACTTCTAAATTATACTAATTTTGCTCCTTTGGTCTTTTTATTACACTTTCTAAAGAAAGAATAAGCTTGTTCTTTCTTCTTCCCTGGTTTTCCTTCTTCCAAAGAACCAATCACTTCTCCGAAACAAAACTTGTAATGCAGTCAAAGATTACAACAAGGTCAATGATGACCAACATGTTTTCAAGGGAGAAAACAAGTGATATGAATGGTCATAGCAATCCAAATGTAGCTGAATGGGAATTAAGACCAGGAGGAATGTTGGTACAAAAGCGTAATTCGGATGCGAATAAAAGTTCTTCATCTATCATCAAAGTCAATGTGAAATATGCCTCATCCTCTCACCAAATTCATATCAGTTCTCATGCAAGTTTTGGTACATTAATTCATATAAGTTCTTATTTATTTTTTTAATTGATTATTATATAAGTTGATTGATGATTCTTATGATTTCTTTTTTTTTTGGTGCAGGGCAATTGAAGAAAATGTTGACAGAATCTACAGGATTGCATGTTGAGGATCAGAAGATAATTTTCAAGAAAAAAGTGAGAGATTCAAAGTCATATCTTGATGTTGAAAGAGTCAAAGATGGATCAAAGTTGGTTTTAATTGAGGATATTGAGAGTAGAGAAAGAAGAGTATTAGAGAAACTAAAAATTGCAAAGATGGAAAAAACTTCAAAATCCTTAATTAAAATTAACTTGGAGGTTGACAAACTAGCCAAAAAGGTACATTTTTTTTATTATTTAATTTTATTTAAACATTGTAAAAATGATGACTTTAATAATTCAATGAAATTGGGTAGGTTTCAGATTTGGAGGATATTGCTTCTAAAGATGGAGTTGTAGAAGAGTTAGATGTAGAGAGTTTAACAGAAAATTTGATGAGAATATTAATTACATTGGATGAAATTTATGGTGAAGGTGAACTGAAATTGCAGAGAAAAGAACAGGTAACTACTAACTTTTAATTTTCATAACTGCAATCTTTATTAATTTATTGATATAATTTATGTTATGAAAAAAATAAAATTAATGTGAAGGTTAAGAGAGTTCAGAAGCACATTGAGACTCTTGATATGCTAAAGATTGCAAAGGCAAGTGAAGATAACAAGGTGGATTGTGACAAAAAACAGCAACAACCTTTGAAACAATCTGATTCAGTTGTAGTAACAACAAAATGGGAAACGTTTGATTAAGAAGTTAATTAATGTTTGCAAAGGTAGTTTAGTAGCAGCAATCATTGGTAGAGATGGTTTTTGTGTTTCATTATCCTATTTGACTTGTTGGGTTTTATGGATGCTTAGATGAGGTTAGTTCAGAGTATTTAATTCAATGGAACCGTGGTCTATATGTGTGAGTGGTTTTGTTTTCTGTCGGTGAAATTTTGCTTAGCTGTGAGAATTTGGCTTTTGAGTAGGGACCATGCAATCACTTTAGATACGTTGGGTAGAGGGTATTAATTTTGAGATAAATGATATGTGCCGCTAGTTTGAACTATTTCTTTTCGATTCTGTTTATATATATGAGATATGATCTCCGACCTAATAATAGTTTGAACTATTTCTTATTAATTTTGAGTTATGTCTTATGAATTCGAATTTGAATACATTCTAATTATTCGAATTCGATCAAACATTGAATATATATATTTTAGGAGAAATTTGAATCTTAATTCAAATAAAATTTAAACTTTGAGTGTTTTTTATTTATTTACTATAGATTCAAACTCATTTGTCACCTGTTTGGTCACTTTAACTGATTATGTTGTTTTCGTCCCACTTCTCCTAAGGCCAAACTGATGAAAATGAGATATATCGATAGTGATTTCACTATTCAATGTTAGGATATATTATTGTCTGACAATTGTGTCCTTTGGGATTTTGGGGATGTTAAATGTTTTCGAAATTAAGTATTGTACTTTTTATTATTTATATTTTAAAAATAATATCATTATACGCCATGCGACTTCATGAAACCTCTTTTAGTAGAACTAGCTTTATTCATATACACCATGAATCAAATTTTAAAATTTAAAAAAAAAAAACATGATCCTATTTCACAAGGTGGTCCAATAGATTGTTGATTGGACTAGAATAAGCCTCAAAGGGTGCTTCCGACACTCCTCAATCACATTTTGAGGGAGAACATGGTGGACACGTTTTACAATTGTAATTGAAGTCATCCAAGTCTTATAGGTTAACTATACTCCTTATCATGAAAAATGGCTCCCGTCATTCACCCCACTATCAAGTCAAAGCTAGGGGCCGCATGGTCGAATTCGTAAGCAATAAAACCAGTTTTCTCAGCAACGTATGAGTCAAGTAACCAAACATACAGATACATTAGTCAAACAGTTGGACAATTCATTCCCTCTTTTACATATTGTTGGCTCCTAAATTCGACACCTTTGTTTTAATTGATGGCTGCCATTAAAAGCTGAAAGATGCTTTCGACTGGCTAAGCTTGTCGAAGTACCCGTCGAAAGATGGCAAAATACTTAGGAGATTTCTTCCAAGGAAGAAGGCTGATTGCCTTCGACGTCGAAGGAGTTTTCGTCGAAGACGTCTCTTGATGAAGGTGTTCGATGATCCAGAGTGGAGCAGTTTGAAATTCAAAGCTTTGGAGGGAAAACGGTTTCCAGCAGTTACCACGTGCAAACGTGCAAGGATCTGGAGCGTCGAGCATGGAGAACGTGACAAGTGGCTTGATCTCGAAGCAGTGTAACTGCCCGACGGTTACTTGGAATGGTTTTGTATAAATAGGAGAAGACGTGTAGTTTCTCGCGTGTGTTCACAATAGATACATAGTCACTCATTTAGATTCAAGTACCCAGTGTGAGCGAACGAATTGTTGAGAAATGTGTGTGTGAAACACCAATTTTATCAATTCAAGTCATTTACTTTTCCAGTATTTTACATGCTTTTCCCCTTTAAGATTCCTGTCGAACCTTTACATTCAAGCCTTGTTTATTTTACCAAGCCTTTCCTTTATGAAATTTACTTTAAACAATTTACTTAACGCCTTATCCACATTAATTAAACTTCAAAATCAACCTATGTCCA